ATGTCCCATCAACGATGGGTTCAATGCTAAATTTGGGGCCTAAAGCCCCCTGAAGCGATCAATAAATTGAAATTTCTCACCAAGCCAGAAAGAATAAAGAATCTTTCAGGCACTAGTATTCCTGAGGACATTTCGAAGTTTTTGGCCTTAGGCCCCAAATTCAGCATTGAACCCATCGCTGATGTGACATTTTCCATAAAGAACCTTTCAGCTGATGTTGACTACATCACATCTACTATAACTAATGATAATGACAAAAAGTTCATAGTAGCACGATCTACTGATATTATTACTATTATTATTATTATTATTACTTTCAAAAAACATATTACCAACAATTTTTTCCATCACCTTTTCATCAAAACTTAACGTTTCTTGAAAAATAATTCAAACCTCATAGTTACCAAATCTGATAAAGGTAATGTCACTGTCATACTTGACCGTGACCAGTATATTAACCTTCCTACAAACCTCATTGAAAATTGTGATTCTCAATCACAAGTGAGTGAAGATCCCACATTACAAGTTCAACGTAATTGTAATGATTTAATTAAAAAATTATTTGAAGTCAATCAGATTAACGAAACGAAACCTATTACTAATTATACTAGGACCTCACCCAAATTTTATGCTTCACCTTAAATTCACAAACCAACCCTGTCGGTTAGACCTATTGCTTCAATTATTGCTTCAATTGGTTCTCCCACTGAAAAACTTGCTTCATATCTAATAGACATTTCAACTAAAGCTTATGAATTTGACATCTAATATTTTATTAAAGATTCTTTTGATGTTTTCTCTATTTTCAATGAAATGGAATTACCTAGCAATTATGTGATTGCTAACTTAGATGTGGTAGATCTTTTTAGCAATGTCTATTCAGACGCTTGTCTCAGATCTATTGATAGAAAGTGGGGACGTATCAGTCAATTTTGTGACATTCACAAAGACGATTTCCTCCAACTTATAACTTTCTTTTTCAACAATACATATTTTTCACTCAATGGTGAAATTTATAAACAAACTCTTGGTAGTCCAATGGGAGCTGAGATTAGTCACATTTTTGCAGCATATATCATGAATGACCTGCTAGTTTTGGTCTTACAGGTTCTTCTCCAATCTCTTTTTTATGAAAAAATATGTCGATGTCATTATCATATCCCCTCCTCAAGATGGAATATCTGAGATTGTGGACATCTTCAATAGTTATGACCCTTCCATACAGTTCACCATCGAAACTGAAAACAACGAATAATAGGTAACTTTCCTTGACACTGAGGTAATCAGAACACCAGATTATATTCTACTCATAGATTGGTATCATGAGACTATCAATTCTGGTAGGTTCTTGAACTTTTGGTCATACCATAAGCAGTCAACGAATATTAATTTGGTCGAGCAAATGAAGAACCGCAGTCTGCAAATTTCCGATCCTTCTTTTCATAACAAAAATTCAAATATACTTTTTCTATTATTTATCAATTACTCTTACTCAGATCCTTTTCTTGAAAAGATTTTATTTAGTATGTCAACCATTGACGTTCAAATAAACAATAACAACCAGTTGGACATAAATCCTTCAAAATCTGACAATGTCACAATTGGGGCTAATCGACCTCCAGTTCCTATATTTTTCTCTTCTTTACCACAGATAAGTGATATGACACCTAAGTTATGCAGAATTCTCGAAGATTCAAATGTAAAAATAGTTTTCAAAACCATATTAACCATCAATGAATTATTTTCGGAACTTAAAGATGAAACTTATATTAACTTTCAATCTCAATCAATCCATTCCATTTCATGTTTGAATCGTCGTAGGGAATATATTGGACAAACGTCAAGATTACTCAAAAACATGATCAGTTCACATAAAAGTGATAGTGGATTACATCATGAGAGAACAAGGTCATAAAATGGACTATAATTCAACTAAAATATTATCAACTGAAGGAAATACATCTGAAAAATTGTTTTTGGAAATGTCATTTATATTACAATCAAATAATTGCCTCAATAAACATTGATCACCTCAGTGAAATATATGCATTCCTATTAGACATTGACAAAAATTTACATGATTTTCAAACCAATAATAATTCTGGTTTTTCATTAATATAATTCAAAATATTTTAAATATCTTCTTTTTGAACAAATTGCCAACCTCCCCATGACAGGGTTTTATTTTCATTCAACAACACCTCCCCACTTGTTTTCCTCAAGACTTTCGAGGGTGATGTCTATTAATTGGGATATTTAATTTTTGGGTTTCCTCATTGAGTTACTTATAGAACAGCAGATGTCTCTGATCACACTTGCACCATAATAGTTCTCCTTTGTTCCATAGTTTTATCATCGACACACTAACACACTTTTTCAAACTGCATCACATGACAGCTGTCATTGTTAATTGTTTTTGTTTCTCTCTTGTTCTTTAACCACATGGCTTTTACCAGTAATCCAAAATTTTAAAACAAATAACGATTTTCAGTGAATTTGTTTCCAGTGAGGAGTCAACCTCTTTTAAAGTAGTGACTTGTTTGATGTATTGACATATTTCAATTGTTTAAATGTAACATTCTTGTCGACACGGCCAACCTTACTAACAGTAAGTTTGAGACCTTTCATAATAATTTTCATATTGTATTACCATCATACAAATTTTGTAGCTTTTTCTTGGAGATGATACTTTCTGACAAACATTCACCGGTCAATACTGTTGAAATAACTAGAAAAAAGCATCTTAGATCACGGATAATCGTATATCTATGTTCAAATTCAGAAATAATCCTCTTCCTAGATTTGAAAAGCCGAGTCACCTAATCACTGCGTATATTACAAAGAGTTGAGTAATCTCACAAATCGAACGGTGAATCTCGAGTAAAAGCATATCTTGCTTATCGAAAAGTGAACAATTATGGAAGTAACTAGCTAGTTTATCAATTGATTTTTCTCTGGAGAAAGTCGTTATTATGAATTATATATCTTCATCATTTGCTTGAAGTATTATTCATTTCATAGAATAATACTCAAATTGGCAGTTTCTCAAAAAAGTTCAATGTCTTTCATTTTCAAAGTTTCTGGAGAGTGGAAACTATTTCATTTCGATATCTTCATTTTATCCCTTCGATTCCTTTTTCTGAAATCATATACAATATTTATAGTATCTGATGAAAGGAAAACTCATTTGTCCGTTTTTATTCGAATCTTTTTCAATAGTACAGTCCAGGACCTGTTCTCCTGAAAATTAATTGTTGACAAATTTGAAATTTTTTCAGGAGACACACCTTGGAAGTGGTATGTCTCCTGAATCAAAATCAACAACAGATATAAAAGATTCGGTGAAACAATAGAAAAAATATTGTTTTAGGTTGCTGTTTCTGATGTTTTGGTTATCGGGGAAACTAAACTAACATCAACAATATCAAGATTCACAATGATTTTTTCGAAAATACCGCAAGAAAAATAGTATGGAGTCCGGTTCTGACTGACAAGGTTCAACCGTGTCTAAAATCAGATCCATATTCATACTCAAATAAACCTGTGATTCAAAGTTGAAAATTGAAGAATTAGGTAAATTGTAAATCATAAGTGATGTATCCAGCATTGAACTGTAAGTACAGTTTGAAATAATTCCGTATACCTAACCTTGCATACTGATATACAAATAAGAGAAATCCAATTTGGTGACGGTATGTTCAGTACACCTGCGTAGCCAGGATCGTACTTGAAAATTATTTCTACTCGCTGATCTAAAATGGATCAGTTGACCTCTACACCTGGGACTTCTGACTACAGGGGATCCCAAAATGGAAACCCAACTAATAAAAGCTACTCTGCTGCACTTACTCAACAACAATTTCCCACCAAAGAACAAGCCATCATATTCAACGCTATAGACGGAATTCGACTTCAAGACTACCTTATTGGAGTGGGATCTGTAATAAACCCTAAAAACATACTGTTTGCGTCAAGATTATCAAACAACAGAATATGCATGTATCTTTCGAGCAAAGAGATAGTCGACAAATTTATGAACGAAAATGGACTGATTGAAATAAACAGCGAATCCTTAAGAGCCAGGCGACTGATAACTCCTGCTGAGCGGCTTGTTTTGTCCAATGTGTGTCCAACTATTCCTCATGACCTACTTAACCATAAATTACAAAAAATTGGTCTTTCCCCAGTTTCTCCAATAACCTTCCTGCGAATTAGCGCATCCGTCTCCGAATATAGCCATATTCTGAGTTTCAGACGACAGGTCTATATCAGCACTCCAGAAGTGACGATCCCGGAATCAATATTGATAACTTTTGATGAAACATCCTATCGTATTTTTCTCTCCCAAGATGCCCTCACCTGTTTCAGCTGTGAGAAGGCTGGACATATTTCGTCTCAGTGCAAAACCTCGCCAAGTGAACAACCACCCGACTCGCATGTCCTGTTACCTCTAAATACAGTGTCGGGTAAACGTACTGTAGATGATATATTAACACCAACCGAGGAAAATGCTGAAAAGGACAAACAAGATACCACAGCTGATCCTTTTATCAAACCTTCGGAAACCTCTCGAGCCAAAAAACCAAAAATTACCAAGCAAATAGAAGATTTATTCAAACCTACGGATAACTTCATAAAAACACACTCTCCTGCATTTGTATTGAATTATAGTCAAATTAAGGACCTTTTCGACAATGTTTGGGGATCCGCTGATCAAGTCAGTGTGGTTAAAAATTACACCAATGATCTATTAGCATTGATAAATATGCTCACAGAAATATATCCACACTTCACTGAAAGGAATATCAAATCGAGGTGCACTAAACTGAAGAAAAAATTATTCAAACATCTTGGAGGAGAAACCATTGACGATTCAGTTACAGATATTGAAAGTGACTCCTCTCAAGAAACCACTTACTAATTTAAATTTTTATATTCATCTCTTAGAATTCAACTCTATTCTGCAGTGGAATATAAATGGTTTTTACCGTAACTTACCAATGTTACAAGTATTGATTTCGGAACAAAAGTCTAATGTAATTTGTTTACAAGAAACCCATCTCAGAAATGATGAAACTCCGAGTTTGAGAAATTTCCAACCTTTTCTTAAAAACAGAGACGTACAGGGAAAGGCAAGTGGTGGCGTAGCTATATTTGTCCAAGAAAACATTCAGGCAAATCTTATTGACATAGATACTAAATTAGAAGCTATTGCTGTCACATTAGAAGAAAGCAAAATTTCGATCTGCAATATATATCTTCCTCCAAATGAAATAATTGATATATTGGATCTTCTGAGCTTGATAGAACAAATTCCTCAACCACGTATTATGGTCGGTGATTTCAACGGCCATAATATCATATGGGGTTCTCTTGTCACCAATAGTAGAGGTCGGACGATCGAAAAATTAATTAACCACTTTAATCTTTCTCTGTTAAACGATGGAAGCAAAACCAGATTCAATGCGCACACGGGAGAATCCTCCGCCTTGGACCTCACGATGTGTGACCCCACTCTTACTCCTCTACTAACACGGGAAGCTCTACCTTTCAACTACAACAGTGATCACAATCCAATAGTGATATCCAACAACCTGAGAAGTCAACAGCCGGATAACCCGATTCTAAAATGGAATATCAAATCAGCTGACTGGAAACTTTTTTCTGCCACAATAGAGAAAGATATAGCAACTTGTGAAATCACTGACAATATAGACGAAACTCTAGCCAACTTCAACAGAGTCGTTCTGCAAGGAGCTGTGATTGCTATTGGAAAAACTTCTTTTAACCCTAAACATATTCCGGTTCCCTGGTGGAGCAATGAATGCAAACAGGCAATACGTGATAGTAAAAGAGCATTCAACAAATGTAAACGATACAACACTACAGAAAATATAATTCAGTTCAAAAAACTCAGAGCAATATCAAGAGTAACAATCAAGAATGCTAAGAGGACTTCATGGAGACAGTATATTTCGAGTATCAATAGCTCAACACCTATGACCGAAGCATGGAAAAAGGTGAGGAGTATATCGGGAGCTAATACTTACCAAGGAATCAATATCTTGAAAGTGGATAATCAAACTGTATCAGATAAACAAGAGATTGCGGAGACTCTGGCAGAAATGTATAGAGAAAACTCATCTTCCTCCCATTATGACGAATCATTCTTGGCAAAAAAACGTGATGAAGGGGAAGTTGAAATACCCATCGTCATAGACTATGAGGACCCCTTGAACATGCCTCTAAGTAAAGAAGAATACGAAGATGCCCTCTCAACGTTCAATAATACAAGTCACGGCCCCGATGAGATCCCAGTAATTTTCATGAATAATCTCCCACATAATGCACATGAACTTCTTTTACGCATATACAACATAATATGGATAGAACACAAATTTCCTTCAGCATGGTCAGAGGCAATAATTGTTCCCATCCTCAAAGCACGTAAATCGAAAACCGACCGTAACTCATATAGACCGATCTCTCTCACATGTGTGATGTGCAAAATCCTAGAGAAAATCATTAACAGAAGACTGCAATGGACCCTTGAACACCGTAATCTATTGACCCCCGAGCAAAGCGGTTTTAGACAACATCGATCCGCCAATGACAATATCCTAGATTTAGAAAGCGATATTCATGAAGCACTAGCAGTAAAACAGAAATGTTTGGCCATCTTTTTTGACATAAAAAGAGCATTTGATACTGCATGGCGATACCGTATAATGAAAATACTAGACTCATGGAAAATTAACGGGCACTGCTTCGCTTTCATCCAGAACTTTCTAAAAGTAAGAACTTTTCGCGTCAGAATAAATGAAACTTACTCAAGCAGTCACACACTGGAAAATGGTACCCCACAAGGATCTGTCATTAGCCCAACACTGTTCCTTATCGCCATGAATGACATTCTAAAAGAAAATAAATCACCAATGAAAGCACGTCTTTATGCTGATGACCTGGTATTCTTTTGCAAAAACAAACATTTAGACAGTTTATTACCATTGTCTCAGGAAGCACTCTCGAACCTAGAGCATTGGTCCAATGAAACTGGATTCATTTTCTCAACAGAAAAAACACGATGTATTCTCTTCTCAAAAAAAGAAACGGCCAATATACCACCCCTCTACCTATATGGGCAAAATCTTAAATATGTTAAAACCATAAAGTTCTTGGGTATGATATTTGATGACAAATTGAATTGGAATGCACACATTAAAAGCCTAGCCGAGTCGTGTAACAGAAGACTGAATATGTTGAGAACGTTGGCACATAAAGAGTGGGGATCTGATGGTCAAACAAAACTGCACGTTTACAGAACACTCATCAGATCTAAAATGGACTTTGGATGTATTGCATACAACTCGGCGAACAAGACAACACTCAAGTTACTCGACACTATCCACAACAAAGCCTTACGAATATCTTTAGGTGCTTTCTGTACAACACCAGTTGAAAGCATCTACTGTGCAACAGGTGAATCATCTCTCCACAACAGACGTACCTATCTCAGTTTGGCATATGCAGCAACAATAAGTGCAAATCCAACAAATCCCACTCATAGTAACACATTCTGGCCTGTGAATC